GAGAGACCTCTGGAGTTCCCAGGAACATCTGCTGCATTCAGAGGAATGGGTTCATTCCCGTGTGTTCTGTGATCCCAGGTAGCTGTGCTCCACATCCCAGAAGTTCTGGTGTCTGAAGGAATGGGGTAACAGCCCAGCATTTGCCCCACTGGTATGAATTTCAAGGGCACAGAGACAGAAGGGAGTTTTTCAGAGATTAACCATCTCCCTCTGCAATATGTCCTTGGCAATAATCAGTTCTAGGGGATTTGGTGAGAAATAAGAGACACTCCCCTGCGCCTGGGGTTTTGCATTTCCACTTTTACAGTGGTTACAGGAGAAGCTGGAGCTGGAGAAGCCCCAATGCCAAGGGGGACAGGGTTCTCCAGCAGGACACACTCCCAAAGCCACCAAAGCACAGAACAGATCTCTCCACGTGGACAGGAAACTCAAAGAAAATTTACCAAGATGAAAAATGTTAGCATTTCCATCTAGTCAAGGTTCCCCCAGGGAAATGAAGCTGCTTCTTCTGTCCTTATCTTCTCTCCTCCCACAAAACCAAACTCCTCTCTGCAAAACTCTTTCCCAGCTGCTAATAGAGGAGTGCCTCAGGGTATCTGAGCTACTTCTAGGCTCTCTGTAGGAAAAGAACCTGATGTCATTAGATTTAAATTAATCACAGAAATTTTCATTAAAGAAGATTTTAGATTCTCTACATGTATAAGAGCTGAAACTATAGATCTAAAAAAAAGACAATTATCTCCAGGATATGACTTCATTCCAACTGTTTTTACATTGAAAATGTTAGTGTCAAAACCACTGAACAATTCAGAGTACACAACTTGGCCATTTATTGCAATATTTACACCATGAAAACCAGTAATTTTCATACTTGCAACCAGTGCAAGTGTTTTGGCTTTTACATGTTAATTTGCTCACAATGTCCATGTATAATCATCCTTCATTTTCTTTGAAGTTTCTTTACATTCTACATTTTGCAGGGGCTCAGTTTTTAACAAAATTCCAGTGATAAAGCTTGTTGGCAAGTATGATCCAAAGTTAATCTGAGCAGTTATTGGATACTCCAAATGGAGAACAAACTTTATACTTAACAAACATGCACCTGGTAATAACAGCTGCAACCATACATAAAGATGAAAAATATATCAAACTAAGCCCCCCATCAAAGCATCTAAAATTAGAAATGTTGGAAAATACATTCATAAACAAGCTAATCTTGAAGAACCAGAACACATTCAAATAATTGGGAATGGTATATTTGACAAAATTAACCTACTTAGAGACAACTTAAACCCCCAATAATTCTACAGAATTAATTCCTTCCCTAGATTTCATTAGGATAAAAAAAAAGCTGATTTTTAAGGGTATAAGGCATCCATAAACTTTAATAACAACAAGTCAATCAGGCTCAATCATTAAATACAGCCAGTTTATGTCTTTTTGGATCACAGAATCTTGGAGGACTGCATTCAAAATTTTCTCAAATCATCTGTTTGTAAGAATGACAAAATAGAATCATAGAACATTAAGGGTTGGGAGATCATCTTGTCCCACCCCCCTGCCATGGCAGGGACACCTCCCACTGTGCCAGGCTGCTCCAGCCCCAGTGTCCAGCCTGGCCTTGGGCACTGCCAGGGATCCAGGGGCTCCACAGCTGCTCTGGGCACCCTGTGCCAGGGCCTCACCACGCTCAAAGTTAAAAATTTCTTAATATCTAACCTCAATTTCCCCTTTTCCAGTTTGTACCCATTCCCCCCGTCCTGTCGCTCCAGTGCCTGATGAAGAGCTCCTCTCCAGCTTCCTTGCAGGTCTGTGCAGATTCTGAAAGGTGTTTTGAGGTCTGCACACAACCTTCTGCAGGATGAACACCCCAATTTTCCCAGCCTGTCTCTGCAGGGGAGGTGCCCCAGTCCTCTTATCAATTCCGTGGCCTCTTCTGGACTTGCTCCAACAGAATTATACAAGCCACTGCTTGGGCTCTGTTCTACTGGCTGCACTTTCACTAGGGAACCTGACAAACTAAAAATACTGGTAACAAATACCTGCACAGCAAGACACACACGTGTGCAAGACCACGGGGGACAGAAATCCCCCATCTGTGTCACAGGCCCTTTTGGAGAAGCACTGATAAGAAATTATGCAAGACCAGCTAGATCCTGCTTGGCTGAGAAGTAACTTAGTACACATGAGGAGGAAAAAAAAGAAAAAGAAAAAAACTAAGAAAGCTCAGGTTAGCTCCCCAGATCCTGCCCTGGCAGCAGAGCCAGCCTCACTGCACAAACTGGTTTATGGGAACAGATGGAAGTGCTTTCCCAGTTGTTTGTTCCCATCACCACAGCAGCCCCCGTGCCAGAGCAGTTGTCTGCACAGCAAACCAGAGCAGAGAGCTCTTCCAAAGAGCTTGCTGGGGTTTTGTGCTGGCTCACAAAGCCACACTCGCGTCAGGGCACGAGTCCCTGAGTGAAAAAAACCCCACTCCTTTCACAAGGAGCTTCCCAAGTTTCCAAAGCTACCAAAAGAGCCAGCAATGACAAAAGAAACCCCCAAGATCTGGAGAGGGGGAAAAGGAGCCAGACCCAGCAAGGTACATCTCATTTTAGCCCATTTGCAACAAAACCTTGGCAAAAAAAAAACCGCTTAAAAGCATCCCTAAAAACATTCCAGGGATTCTACAGCTGCCTCAGAGTATTTGTGACTTAGGTGGGATATCTGAAAGCACACTGAAAACATGGATGGGATTAGATGCTAATCTCTAGAGCTGTCCTTAATGAAAAGATAACGCGCCAGATTAGCTTTCAACAAAAACAAGAGAAATCTTGTAATTCTTAATTTCTATTTTAATACTTGCGTTTTGACACATAAAGCCCCATTCAGGTATTTAACTCAAAGCGGATAATCACGACGAGAAGCCAGCCTAAAGCAATGATAATGGCCATTATAATTTTTTTTTTTTTTTCAAATCAGCAGCTACAAAGGGGCTGAGCCAAAACTCACCGGGATCTGTGTCCCTGATGGCAACAGAGGGTGGTGGGCTGGCTTGGGAGGGGGACAGGGGTGGCCTTTGGGGGACAGTGGGTGGCTTGTGAGTGGGATGGTGGTGGCTTTTGAGGGATTGGAGGGTGGCTTTTGAGGGACTGGAGGGTGACTTTGAGGGGCACAGGGGTGGCTTTGAGGGGGACAGGGGTGGCTTTTGAGGGACAGCAGGTGTTTTTTGAGGGACGCTGTGTGGCTTGGGAGGGGTTCAGTGGGTAGTGAATGGGATTTTGGGTGGCTTGGGGGAGTCTGTGGCTGTTGACGGGGACAGTGGCGGCTTCTGAGGGGGACGGAAATGTGAGGGGCTGGGGGGGGGTGGCTTGTGAGGGACACGGCGGGTGGCACCAGGCACGGTGCTCCTTCAGGGACCACACTGGGCCTTCCCAAAAAAAAAAAAAAAAAAAAAAGTAAAATAAAATAAAATAAAAAAATAGTCGCCACGATAAAAGCTCACGACGAAACAAGCACGAATTTCGCCCTAACGCCGCACGCGGGTTCCCCCTCACACCCGCAGCGCCACGGCCGGGGGGGGGGGCGTCCCCCCCACCCCGGCCCGGCCAATCGCGGCGCCGCGCACGTGACGAGCGCTCCCCGCGATGACCTCATCCCTCGGTTGTGGGATGACGTCAAATTCAAGATGGATGGAATCACGGCGGCGGCGGCGGCAGCGCGGGCTGAGCCCTGAGCGGAGGCGCCGAGGGGGGCGAGCAGGGGGGGGCGGCGGACAGGGTGAGTAGCGCCCGCGTGTCGCGCCCGTCCCGGGGGCTCCCCGCGCCGCGCGGGTCTCCCCGAGCACAAACCCGTCTTTTCCTGACGTAACTCTGAGGTGGTTTTTTTGGGCCGGGGGGGGGGGGCGGTGTGTGCGGGTTACCACAGCGGCACCTCCCAAACCGCTCTGTCCCCTGCCACAGGGACCTGTCCCTCTGTCTGTGTGTCCCTCCGTGTCTGTGTGTGTGTGAGTCCCCCCTGTGGGGAGCCACCCCCAGGCGCGCGGCCGCTGCCTCAGTTTCCCCGCGGCGGGGCGGGCTGAGGGCGGCGGCCGTGGCGCTGCGGGCGGTGCTGCCCGCGCTGGAAGGCGGGCAGGCTGGCGGTCGGTCGGTAGCTCGGTCGCTCGGGGGAGGTTTTTTTTTTTTTTTTTTTTTTTTTTTTTTTCCTCTTTCCTCCTTTCCTCCCCCCCCTTCCTCCACCGAGCGGGGATGCGGCTGCCGCGCGCATGCGCCGGTTACGAAACTCTTCCCCCCCGTCCTTGGCGGGGCGCGGCGCAGGCGCCCGCAGCGGGCGGGAGGTGCCCGCGGCCGCCGCCGCCACATCGCCCCAGCCCCGAGGGGGAGGCGCGGGGGAAGCGCTCAGGGCGCATGAGCGCGGCCGGCAGCGATGGCAGGAAGGACGGATGGATGGAAGGAAGGAAGGAAGGCAGGCGGGGGGAGCGGGAAGAGGCGCGCCGTCCTCCGGCTTCCCCGGGCTGCGGCGCCTCGGGAGCCCGTTACCCGCTGCTGCGGGGCGTGAGGGCCGCGAGGGTCCGGCCGCCGCAGGGCGTGAGGGACCGGTGTGTGAGGGACGCTGGGGACCGGTGTGTGAGGGGCAGCAGGCAGCGGTGTGAGGGACAGCAGGCAGCGGTGTGAGGGACAGCAGGCAGCGGTGTGAGGAGCACCGGCCGCCCCAGGGCTGTGAGGGACCGGCGCTTCCCCCTCGGCCGGCGGCTCCGGGCGCTGCCCCCGCTGCCGTCCCGAGCTGTAGAAGCAGAGAGAGGCGGCGGCAGGGTCGTGGCTCGGGGACACGGCTCCTGCCCGCTGTGTCTGGAAGGGAGAGCGCGGTTCGTCTCCTCCCAGCGAGGTCCCCGCGTGTAAGTGCAGGCAGGTACCAAACACCATCGATGTCTGTCGGTCGAGAAAGGGGACGGGTCCGAGCCTGGACCGGGCTCTGCTCGGTAATGGCTGGGACCCGATGCTCAGACATTCCCCCTCAACTTAAGAACTTCCCTGTGCAGTGAGCGAGCACTGGGCAGATTGTCCAGAGAGGCTGTGGAGCCTCCTTCACTGGAGATATTCCAGGACCATCTGGACACAGCCCAATGCTCTGGGATGACCCTGCTGGAGCAGATGACCCACTGTGGTCCCTTCCAGCCTGACCCATTCTGTGGTTCTGTAAACGAAGTGTGGCTGCATTATTCATCAGAAGGATGAGGCACATTTCACAGCCAGGTGGGGAAATGCTCAGCGGTGGGCTGTGCCTGTGCAGAAGGTTGTGGAAGGTGTTTTACCTGGTCGCAGCTGTCAGAAAGAACCTTGCTATAATCCTCCGTAAAATCCAAGCTGATCTTATGTTCAGGTTGGATGAGGCTTGTGTAAATAAACAGGAGAATAACTTCAAGGAGTTAGTATTAGACAGGAAATAATTGTGGAATGTGTGTGTACTGAGTAAGCTCATCTTAATAATTAAATAGCAATTGGTTTAGTAGCTCTTCCTTTTTTTGTAGTTGGACTCCCAGTGGAAGTAAGAGGTAGGTAGGCTTTACATACAAGAAGAGATTGAGATGAATTACACAACAACAGAGCTTTCTGTGAATACACTCAATATCTCATGGTTAAATTAAAAATTAGTACTTTATCCTTAGATAAATAACGTGAAACTAGATTTTTAAAAATGTATTTTTGTACAGGAAGTCTTTTTGATGTTAAATCAGGAGTGGTAAATGCACACTGCAGGTAAATCCAGTACTGTTTTATGTGTAGGTTTAGTGTTCTGTTCTGACTTTGCTCAAACTGACAAAGTGCTCTGACTAAAATTTTCCACCAGCGTTATGCTGATCCTCTTGAGGGGAAGTTTGGAGCAAATTTAAGCAACTGTTTTTATAAACCTTGTTAGCAAAAAAAACCCCAAATTATGTGGCCATCTCTTGGGTGGAGGGAATCCTACAACCATTCTCTCAGATGTGTGTTTCACCCATATGCTGTAGAGTTGTAATGTCTAAAGAATATTTTGTTTACCTGTGGAAGGTCCACCCACCCTGACTGAATTGTGACCATTTCAAGAGCTGTCATTTGCATGTTCTCAGGAGGGGCTTGCAGGGAGATGTCACAAATCAGAACCTCTGGAGTTTTCAGCTGCAGAGCCACACCAGGATTCCTTGGGGATTTCACCCCTTGTGAGCTCCCCTGATTCTGCTTCACTGTTCAAGGTAACTTACCCTTTAGCATTCTTATTGAATATAAAGCAGGCAGCAGCTTTTAGGAAGTTCCCAAAGTTCTTTTTGTGCTGTACATCCAGTGATAAATGTGAACTTCTGTGCCTCCTGTTCCCATGTGTAGGTTTCAAGTGCCAGGGTGATACTCTGCCACATCCATCTCACACTGGATCAGCAAAAAGCTGGATATTGCTGAGAAATTAGGTTTTCTGAGCTCATGGAGGCTTTTGTGTGTGATGCTTGCACACAGAGAATTAAGTGCTCTGATCATCTTCGTAGTGATGGCTGATCACACTTCCTTCAGAATTAGTTAGGGGTGGACCACAGATCAACCTGTGGATTTAAAAGGACACCTTGGCAGAAAGCCTTGAGCTTTCTCACTGTATTAAAGTTGTTTTGTTTTGGGCTTCAGGATGTGAAGCAGTTACTGTTAAAAACCAACCCTGTGTAGTTTTCAGGGTTTTAAAATTTGCTTTATCTGCAAAATGGTGATAACTTCAGCGTGTGACCCAGCCTGGACTCGAGGGGAGAGGAAGTTGGGCTGTAATCAGCACTGGGTTTGTTCTGCACTGGGAGGGGCTGTGCTCTGAGTCACATGCTGCAGTTGCAACAATTTCAGCTCTCCTTAAACTTTTGAGCAGCTGAGCTCCTTCGTTTGTTCCTCAGAAAGCAGCAAAAGTTTTCAGAAGCAGCAAAGTCATGGAAAGACTGCAATGTGCCCTGCTTTAAAATAAGTGTTTTGTGCAGGGGGGGGTTCCTTCCCAAATATTTGTTGTAGTTTAATATTGGTCTTTGTACTGTAGTATTTCCATTTTTTCCCTACTGATAATATTAAGACATCAGTTGTCTTATATTTTCTTTCAATCAGCAGTGAAATAAAAAGAAATTTGTTGTCTTTTCTTATTGACTACTTTCTGTATTTTGCTGTTCTGGAACAGTTCAGGCATATTTTGTGAATAAGGAAATCAAGTGTTGGGCAAGTCTTCAGTCTTCCTAAGCTCCTTCCCTATCCACCCCCATCAATTCATCAATCTTGCTGTCCATCACAAATAAAAGTTTTAAAATCCCCTGGTCTTGGTTGTTGAGGGGTTTTCCCTCTGAGATGTAGTGAAACACCACATCCTTCTTGTGCAAATCCTCTTCATGCACTGTGATGAGAAGACATGAAAAATCCTTTGTACAAAAAACATATTTTTTAAATGCCACAAAACTTTTCCTTTGATAGTAATTTGTGTACAACTAAATTGCATTCACTGGGAAAGGGAGAAATATTTTTCCCTTTTTTGTCTGGCAGCATTAATCTCCAAGGTTTATCCTACCTCAGTACTGAGCAGTGTGAGGAACATTTAGGTTGCAATTCATTCTCATCAACCTCTGACAAGTTGTGGTTACTGCAGGGACAGTTCTGACACAGGGCACAGTGAGTGTCCCACCCACCCCCTCACAGACTGCTCTGGACAGATTTGTGAGTATCTTCAGAGTACTTCTGAAAAACACAGTACTTCTGACAGTAAATATGCCTCACAAAGCCCCTTTTAATGTAAATTAACAGCCATGGAAGGAAAAGCAGCAGAATTACAGTGATTTCTAATCACTGCCACACTCTGTCATAACCCAAAGGAATTTATTTATTCTGTACCAAGACATAACTCTGAGTACAGTCTGTCAGCTGTTGAGGTTAAGGGCCAAATTTCCTGGAATTCCAGTAAAAATATGACCATCTCAATTCTCATAAATACTTCTGAGGAGTAAGGAGAATACAGTGCTCTTGTTCATGGAGCTGGATTTTTAAATTAATTATTTTTAACTATGTAAGACATAGCCTACCTTCAGTTGCTTGTGGGCTGGAGTAAACTGAAAATCTTCCACATGCTATTCATGAGCTTGTAAATCTCTTAAAGCTCAGGTAAAATTGCTGTTGTCTTTCCTGTATCATCTTCCCAGGATCTTGGCCAGAATTGGTGATGGCTGAATGACATTTTCTTTAGATCCTTCAGTGGGAGGAAGATACCTGAATTCCCTGAATCATAACTTTCTCACTTGGAACTTTTTAGGCTCAGCTTTTATATTCAGCATTTAATTTTCAGATTAAATTTATGACTTTTCCCCCTCATGTCTTATTTTCTTAAAGAAACTTTAGTGTGATAACTCTTCTGTTGATAAAATAGTACCTTACAGGGATGTGTGGCTTCTCTTCCCATCCAAAATACACTGTGCCTGTAAAAAGCACCATTATAGTAACAGTGTGATAACTCTTCTGTTGATAAAATAGTACCTTACAGGGATGTGTGCCTGTAAAAAGCACCATTATAGTAATAGAATTATGACCACAATTAGGGTTTGTCATTTTTACTACACCACCAAAATTAAAAGTAGTGTGTAGACAACTTTTTAATGTGAATTAGGCCAGTTAATGTGTCTCATCTAGTAAAGCAGGTGACTGAATATTACTCCATTTGATAAGTATATCTCAGCATTGCCAATAAAACAATAAAATCAATGTGTAGAAATAGTACAGGTGTACACATTTGGTCTTCAGTTCTTCAGATTTCATGCATCTCTTACCAAAAAAATGACAAAAAGTATTTCTGGGGATGAGATTTCTGTAGTGTTTAAATTTGATGGCCATTAAGCCTTTCAGACTTGTCCCATCAAGCAAACGTTGCTTTGTATTTTGCATTACAAAACAAACATTTCAAGGGCATGAAAGATGAAGAACTCTTGGGGAAAGGTGTTTTTAAAACTTGTTAATTTTGATTTAGTTTATAGCAATTTGGAGGCTGAGTTACACACCTTTTAGTCGAGTCATGGAGGCCAGGACAAATAGGAAATTGTGTTTGATGTGATTTAATCTTCACTAAATGTTTCAGGAAGAACTTTGAGAGCTCCCAGCCAGCATTTCCCTGCCCTGTCTCTTCCATCCTTGTTGGATCTGCTCCCTGCTCTGACACAGGCTGCCCTTCCTCCGAGGAGGAGGAGGAGACACGGGCTGCTCCTTGCAGGAGCGATGCCTCAGACTGCTCTGAGAGTAAGATGGAATTGCACCCTGGGTTGTAAACAAGAATGGGAATGACAAGAGGAGCTTTGTGCTCTGACATTCTGCAGTTTGCTGCACGTCAGGGGGAGCTATTTTAAGCGTCAGAACGTGAAACTGAGGATATGATCTGAATGTGAAAAGTAGCCTCTAATTTCTGAGTCAATTCCATGTCTGTGTCAGGTTAGCTGCTAATTATCTGTCTAGAGCGTAGAGCAAAGTAGACTGCAGAACAGTCAAACTGAAAGTAGATTTAGATTAAATATTAGGAAAAACCTCTTTACTGTGAGGGTGGTGAGGCACTGGCACAGATTGCCCCATCTCTGGAAGCATTCAAGGCCAGGTTGGATGGGGCTCTGAGCAACCTGCTCTGGAGGGAGTTGTCCCTGCCCATGGCAGGGGGGTAGAACTGGGTGATCCCCAAGGTCCCTTCCCCAACCATTCTGTAAATCTATGATTATAAAATTTCTTCTTTTTCTCTCCCTAAGTTTCTGCTTTTATATGTGTGGTGGATAAATAGGTAGAAATTAGTCCATCAATTTCACACACTAGCAAGCATGTTATTTATGTGATTTTATGCCTGCCTTCATACCAGTGAGTCTCTCTGTGCTGCTGACCTATTGGAAATGAGAAATTTTGGGGTTTTGGTTTTTTGTTTTGGTTTTTTTTTTTTTTTCACTTCATGGAGAGAGTTCACAGTGCTGTCTGCAGTAGAATACAGCAACAGCAGTGAGATCTCATTTCATTAAATCCAGGAAGACAGATTCCCCAAATTTGCAGCAAGAGATTATTTAAGTGTTTAGGTAGAAAAAGATTATAGAAATACAAACAATATTCCTATGTGGATTTGCAGCTTTTACCTGCACGTTTTAGGGTAAAAAGGGAGATGTGTATATTTGTATGTGGTATGGGAGGGTATCTGTGTTGCAGAGGCTGTTGATAAGAGAAGAGACGTTTTATAAACTTGTCAAACTCAAATCATAAAATCCAGCATAGGGTCCTTAAGTAGAAGCTTAAGCAGTGGAAGTTCCTTTTTCTTCTGGACTTTTGACAGAAAAGTAGGGGAATTTTCTACTCTTCAGGCATCTGAAACAGCACCAGAATTGTCAGAACCATCAGATCCTCAGCAAAGCACTCAAATGAATGCAATATTCTTGCATTTTCCAGGAGGTGCCCCAGGAAGTCACTTGTACTTTTTGGCTGACTCTTATAATGCACATTTCTTTGCTTTCTTTAGTGGGTTTGTCCCTGCCATGCTTCTTTTGTGTTTTCCTTGTTTAAATCTGTTCAGTCTCTCCTCTGTGTTTCCTCCTCCATCCTCATACTCTCTGCTTCCACCTGCATTTTCTCACAGACCTGGCACTCCTTGCTGCAATATTGCATTTCAAGGAGGGTTTCAGAACATCATCTTTCCCACTGCCCCCCAGCACGCTGTTAATGGACTGACAGAGATTTCCTTATCATGGAAGTCAGAAGGCAACATCAGCATCTCTTAGTTGCTCGTGTATTTGAGGGTACAGCTGTTACACTGAAACCACACCTCAATATCTGCCTGATTCTTTCTGGAATGTTTCAGCTGTAGAGTTGGTGGCTCTGTTATTTCTAAAGGTGAAATTTCAGATGGAGGAAGCTGATGGAACAACTTCCTGACAAGGAATGGGCAGGTGCCTGGCTCCTCTTGCTGGAACCCTGATGCTCATTTGACCTCTCAGTGAGCTGATTAAGTTGCCTGTCCTAGAAAATAGCAAACAGATCTAAAAATCTGGAGTGATTTTGTTTATTTGTTCCCTGCTTAATTTTAGGGAATTGAATCAACTCATTGAGAGATCAAATGAGCAGCAGAGCTGGTGAAAAGAAGGGGAGAGTAGCACAGGGCTGGGAGGAGATGTGAGAGTAAGGAACAGAGGAAAGGAAGGGGAGCTACCACTTCAAAGGGAGGTTGCTGTTAAAGATCAAGAAA